GAGGGCCCAAGCAAGAGGCTGCCAAAGGGCTCCTCTCTTCGGGACTTGCTTCGGGCCGTCCTTCGGGACTCGATTCGGGGCCGTCCTTCGGGACCGAGTCGACGAATGTCGAGGGCCCGTTTCGAGGGACCATCTCTTCGGGCCCGTCTCTCCGGGGATCCCGGGACCATCTCTTCGGGACCGTCTCGAGGGGACCACCTCGAGCGGCCGTCTCAAAGGACCGTCCCAAAGAACCGTCTCTCCGGGCCCGCGCAACGGCGGCAGTTCTTGTCGGACCGCGAAGGATTTGCGGCAGCACTTTCCAAAAACGCGGCCAACCGACTCCAATGCCGTCTTCGCCAAAAACGCTTCTCCCCGCCTCTCCGCCGCCTCCGCGCGAAGCCCGGCAAACTCGCGCCGCAGCGCCGACTCGCTCGACTGCAGCAAAAACACTTGGCCGCCTATCGACGGAAAAAGTCCGCCACGCCCAACAACCAGAGGCTGCATACCACTCACGGAGGCTTTCCAACTCGACCGTCCCCCGCGCCGCCGCCGAATCGAACTCGGCGCGCGCGCGAAACACCTACGCGCGTCCTTTGCGCGCGGGAGCGCACGCGGCAGTTGCGCCCGCTCAAAGTCCCTCTCGGAAGACGCTCTCGCGGACGCGTACCGTCGCTGCGTCGTCCGGCGGCGGCTCCGGCGGCGCGCGGCCGTCGGCGCGCAGCGGCGCGCGGCCGGGGCTGGCCGCGGGGCTCCTTTCGTAGTTGGCCGCGGAGCCCTGGGGCCTCTCCCGGGCGTCGACGCGCAGCGACGCGCGGCCGGGGCTCGCCGCGGGGCTGGGCGCGTAGCTCGCTGCGTAGCCCTGCTGGCGCTCCCGGTCGTCCGCCGCAAATTTCCCGTCGTCCGCCGCAAACCGGGCGTCCTCCGCAAACGCCAACCCAAACGACGCCACCGACGCCCGGTCCGCCCCAAACACGGTGCCATGGCGCTCCGGCGCGGTGCCCGGGCGGCCGTCCGGCGCGGTCCTCAGGCGGTCCGGCGCAGTGCCCGGGCGGCCGGACGCAGTGCCCGGGCGGCCGGACGCGGTGCCCGGCCGGTCCGTCCGCCTACACACCCCGCTGAACGCCCATACGCGTCGAGCGCACGGCCTGCTCACCTCGGCGCGGCGGCGGCGGCTGCGGCGGCTCTGCGTTCCGCAGGCGTTGGTTGTAGCGCCGGACCCCCGCGCCGCACGCGTTCAGCAGCCTGTAAACGCCGTTGCCGAGCCGCGTCGACGCACTTCGACGGCGCCCCGAACGACGCCATGGGCCGCCTCCGACCCGCAGCCTGCCCCGCCGCAGGCAGGCGGTCGGAACAGCTGAGCCTGCGCGGGAAATTGAAAACGAAGCAAAGTCGCCGAAGACCCTTGCACAAGAGACTGACACAGGCCGAAAAAATACGGGATTAGGAGAGGCCAATAGCGGCAATTTTGGAGTTTATATTAAATCTAAAATGGGGCCTTTAAGTCCACCTTGAAGGGGGAAAACCCGGAAATATAGTGGAAACAGACTAAATGATTTCCGGTGATGGCAGGAGGCGCAAAGTGCGTGCCCTCGGAAGCGGTATCCATTCGTACCTATGTTGAGCGTGGATACCGCTTCCGAGGGCACACACTTTGGCCACTGGGGCGAAGTTGGAGGGCATCCAGAGCCCGAAAAGGGAGGAGTGATGATCGCAGCTCCACTCATCGGCCTGGAGCCAAGATTGATATGGCCGTGAGAGCGACGCGCGGTGATGACGCCGCCAAAAGCAAACACCCAGACTCGCCATGTAGGCTCGACACGAGCCTGCTCCAAGCTGCTCAAGTAATCTGGGAAAATCCCTCTAATATCAGGAGCTCTGTCTCCCTTTTCAGCCTGTGTGATTCTACGGACCAAACAGCGAGGTCCCTCCTATGACAAGAGCGCGCCGGAGGCATACGGAGGACCAGAAGGATACAGCCAAATCCCATTGCAATGACCACGTAAATAATTGAAATTATTTAAACTAATCGCTGAATTTTGCGGCCGACCAGGTTTGAACCTGTGACCACCTTCTTCTTCTATTATGATTCCAATGATTCCCAATTTTAGCGATCGCATTAACCACCAATCGCTGAATCGGCCGAGTTGCGGCCCTTTCAACCCAAAGGCGGAACCTCACGGATTTACCCGTGGACAGACAGACAGACAGACGGACGGACAGACAAAATTGCCCCTGGTGATCCTTCAATCAAAGGACCCGAAGGGCCCTTGCCGTAAACTGACGTTGATTAAACGGCAAGGACCCTTCGGGTCCTCAGCAATTGTATGGGAATGCGGTCGCCGCTCTCAACCCACTTCCCAGGCTCCCGTAGGGAGCCGATGGTAGAACGGTATGATCGCTTAAAAGAACATAAAGCCGACCTCAAGTGGCGCAAAGTTGTGCCTCCCAGAGGCCGCCTGCGGGGGTGGGCGTGGTCGCTATGGGCCTCCCTGCCCCCCGGGGTGTCCGTGAAAGGATCGGCCGCGTGGAGGGCGCCTTGCAAGGGCGTGAACGAGCGTTTCCTCTAATATGTTGGACTTGATAAAATCATAATTTGCCTCCTTGTCTTGATTTTGACTTGATTTTGCCTCCTTGTCGCGAAGG